ATTCAACAAATACTTATCATGTGCCTACAGAGTATGACCAGAGGCACTGTTCTGGACATTGGAGATACGCAGTGAACAAAAGGGCAAAGATCTCTTTCCCGCTGTGGGGCAAGACAAAGAATAAACAAGAAATATACGTAAAATATACAGTAGGTAAAATGAGGAAGAGAGTTCTCAGGAAAATAAAACGAGGAAGAGGGATGGCAAGTGTTGAGCGGGGACTGCAGTTCTAGACACTGTGCCCAGGGGAGGCCTCACTGAGCATGTGACATTTAAATAAAGACCTGAAGGAAGTGAAGGGTGAGCCATGGGGATAGCTGGGGAAAAACACTCTTGGCAGAGGAGACAGCGGTGCAAAGGCCTCGAGGCACGAGTGTGCCTAGAGGCTTCAAGGAACAGCAAAGAGGCAGCTGGACTGCAGCAGGAGAGAAAGGATAGTATAACAGAAGGCTAGGAGTTTAAGGGGACCAGTCATACAAGGCCTCATGGGCCACTGTAAGAATTTTGGCATTTCCTATTAGGAAAATGAGGATTCCAGGGGGGATGTGAAGAGAGGAAAGACATAATCACACCCATTTTTAATAGGATCACTGACTGCTGGGGTGAGATGGAGGCAGGGAAGATGGACAAGACACTCCCACAATAATCCAGGCAAGAGATGAAGGAGTCTTGGTCCAGGGTGGTAGAGGTGGGGGTGGTGAGTAGTGGCCGGATTCTGCATATACTTTGCCGACAGGCTGGATAAAGTAGGAATGAACTAAGGGGTCATGGATGACAGAGGTTTTGGCTTCAGATCTTTACTGAGCTCTAGTAACTTCCAAATCTATACCTCCAGCTTAGACTTGTGCCCTGACCCTCACAGCTGTTTATACAGGTAGCTAATGCCAAGTCAGCCACCTTCTCCTTCCTGCAGCATCACCTTTCACTGGGAAGTGGTTGGTCACCACTCACTAAGTGGCCCAAAGGCAAAGACTTGAGAGTCAGGCAGAGTCTGTCCTCTAAAATGACTTAACACCCTTTCACTACTTCAACGTTATTTATTCATTCAACAAAAGTACTGAGTGCCTTCTGTGCACTAGCTACTGTTCTATGCACCATTTTCTGGTTCCTTAATGTTCCTTTAACTGCTCTGCCTACTTTCTGTCTCTCCCCAAGAAATACATCTTCCACACTGCTTCCCAAATAATCTTTATAAAATGCAGAAAACATAAGGTAATTAATTTCCTTGCTCAAAGACCTTCAGTGGCTCCCTATTGCCTACAAGATAAAAAATTCTCCTGAGTTTGATATTCAAAACTCTTTCTGATGGGGTACAGCCTACCTTTCTACCCTTACCCACCATTCCGTGCATTCACAGATTCTCAGCTACTCCCACTCCACTTGGAAACTCATTATGGCCCAAGTGGTTTGCCACATGTTCTTGCTTCTACGCCTTTCATGATGTGTGGCTTCTACACCTCTCTCTCTGTGTAGAATTCTCTTGTCTACTTCTACTATATCATAATGCTACTCACTCTTCAAGGCCCAGACCAGATATCACCTCTACTAAGAACCCATTATGATCTACTCCGTCTCATAATTAAAATCTCCCTTCCCCATAGCCCCACAGCTCTTTGTCCCTTGTTCTGTCTTGCACTTCTCTCGTCTTGCCTTGTATAATTATTGGTGACAGACTGTGGTTCAGATGATCTCTGCATCCCCCAGGGCCTGGTACACAGACAGGGGACTGACGTTACCATTCAACGGACAGAACTGAATAATGTTATCTAAAAAAAAGTAGATGAGGCCAGGTGCAGTGGCTCACACATGTAACCCCAGCACTTTGGGAGGCTGATGTGGGAGGCCGACATGGGCAGATCACCAGAGGTCGGGAGTTCATGACCAGCCTGATCAATATGGAGAAACCCCATCTCTACTAAAAATACAAAATTAGCCCAGCATGGTGGTGCATGCCTGTAATCCCAGCTACTCAGGAGGCTAAGGCAGGGGAATCGCTTGAATCCGGGAGGTGGAAGTTGTGTTGAGCCGACATCATCCCATTGCACTCTAGCCTGAGCAACAAGAGTGAAACACTGTCTCAAAAGAAAGAAAGAAAGAAACAAACAAACAAACAAAAAAGGGCTGGGTGCGGTGCCTCACGCCTGTAATCCCAGCACTTTGGGAGGCTGAGGCGGGTGCCTCAAGAGGTCATGAGATCGAGACCATCCTGGCTAACACAGTGAAACCCGTCTCTGCTAAAAAAAAAAAAAAAAAAAAAATACAAAAAAATTAGCTGGGCGTGGTGGTGGGGGCCTGTGGTCCCAGCTACTCAGGAGGCTGAGGGAGAATGGCATGAAACCAGGAGGCGGAGCTTGCAGTGAGCTGCGATCACTCCACTGTACTCCAGCCTGGGCGACAGAGCCAGATTTCATCTCAAAAAAAAAAAAAGAAGAAGAAGTAGTAGTAGATGAGTCTGTTGGGCTGGTGGTGGCACTCTTTTTCTGGACCTGTACAAGTGGCACAGCCTTCCTCCAGATACTGGAAAGAGGCGCAGCAAAGGAGACACCATGCCCCTGGCAGCTTGAGGGGCTCTTGTTCTAAAGTGATAGGCTAAGATAGAACAGAAACAGAAATAGGGCCATACTCAACCTTTCTAATAAGAAAACTAGGGTGGGACTGGAGGAGGACATGAAAAGCAAAAATTCCAAAAATGATGGACACAGTTTACAGCATCAGACAATGTTGAGTTTGTGATGTCAAGAGACTGGAGACCAATCCTAGCTGTGCCTCTTGATTTAATCTCTTCCCTTCACCGGTCCCAGTTTGCCCTCTGTAAAATGGAGTGGCTGGATCTCTGAAAAGACAGTCCGTCCATCTCTTCCTTCCTATAGTGCTCTAATACTTCTCCCACAAGTGTTTGCCTTCCTAAACCATTTGGCATAGTCCTTAGGAAGCTTTTTCTATTTCCCTTCAGAATGATTATTTCGGACTCTGAGTCTTGGATAGTTGTCTCTACAAGCTCCTAAAGGAAAACACCCATGTGGTTTTTGCCTGCTTGAGGTAAATACCACCTTAGGCCAGCTACCCCATCTGTAAACTGGGAATAACACCAGATTGCAGGGATGTTGAGGAGGGTTAATTATATACAGAGTGTCTAAGGGTTGAGCAGATACACAAGTGCTCTGGATGTTCTTGGCATAATACTATAGCATTACAATAATTCTGGCTTGCAAATTACACCCCAGCAGAGGTATCACATGGGAAAGTGGATACGACCCTATGGCCTGCTGAAAGTGACATGGAAAAAATAAGTTACGAAATATAACGTGTCTTCCTGAACCTTTGGAAAAGGCAGAGATAACCTTTCCATGTGCAAGGCAAAAGAAGGGAGCAAGCTTCCAGATTCCAGAGAGGACTTTCTTGTCTCAGATGGCCTGGCCTATTGCCAGGATCTGAGCTCAGAAGTAGAAATGGGAAGGAAGGTAGCTGGGGAGGATTTGTGGTTGGATGAAAGGTGGGGCTTAAGACAAGGATGTCCTTGCCTTTCAGGTTTTCTACTGAGGCCTCCTTATATGCAAGATAATTAAGTGCCAATGTGACAGAGGAGCAATTTAAAGGGTAATGGAGATATTTAAGTCTAGGTATATTCAAAATAAACATCCTAGCCAGGTCAACTTCTGGGTCCTCTCTGCATGCCCCAGACACATCAAACGCGTGCGCGCGCACACACACACACCCCTTAGATTATTTACTGTGAAATGCTAAGTAAATAGATCTCAGGCAATGAAGAGGCTGTGTAGTTGGTGACAGTATCTGTGACTATGAGACATAGTGGGTTTGGCAAATTCAATTGGCCACAGAGGATGACAGTATTGTCTGACCAAGGAGGGAAAGGGCAAATAGCTTGATTCTGGAAGAACAAATTTGAAGTCAATTCCACTTTACTACTGTGTGTGGCTGAGCAGACGGAGGTCAGCTTCAGGATAAGACCTAGTTCGAGTCCTGCTTCTATCACTTCTGCGCTGTGGCCTCAGGCATGAGTCTGGGTGGGTTACAGAGAGGAAGCAGTAACAGCTCTCAGGTCTTCCCTGTCCAAGTGTCTCAGACTGAGAGTTTGACCTCCACTTCCAGCGTGGCCAGAACTACAATGTGATCAAAAGAGCCCCTGGCCTTGCTGTCTGCCCTCACAGTTCCCGCTGTTACTACAGGATAGCGGAAAAACAGACTCCCCCAAATCACATCTATAATAGATGGACAGCAAATGCAGATTCTTGATTCGGGCTATTGTTTTAGTAAATCAACATTCTTAGAGAATTTCTCAGCTCTCAGCTGCCCACATCTCAGAGTTAAGTCACATTTTGGGGCTTGCCCAGGCATATTCAAAGCAGCACCAGGCACTAGTGGCAGCTACTTCATCTTCAGGCAGCATTTCCCTCTCAATAGGGAGCATGCCACCTCCCCTAGGTGCAGATCCCAGGAAAAGTTACACTGAGCAAATTGGGCCACTCCTTGGGCCTATTTCCCCAATTTTGGTTAATAATCAAAGGATGATCTGAAATCGCAAAGAAGAGACTCTTGGAAAAGACATAATTGTGGTGCCACCAGATTTAGGAACTGGCATCCAAGTCCACCTGTGTGACTTTCCCCTGGGCCTCAGTTTCTCCATCTGTAAAATGAGGTCATTTATTTTTTTTGAGACGGAATCTGGCTCTGTTGCCCAGGCCGGAGTGAAGTGGTGCGATCTCGGCTCACTGCAACCTCTGCCTCAGCCTCCCGAGTAGCTGGGATTACAGGTGCCTGCCACCACACCCGGCTAATTTTTCTATTTTTACAGCGGGGTTTCACCATCTTGGCCAGGCTGGTATTGAACTTCTGACCTCGTGATCCACCCGCCTCAGCCTCCCAAAGTGTTGGGATTATAGGCGTGAGCCACCGCACCCGGCCGAGTTCCTGTATTAAATGGAGCCCTGCCAGCCCCTACAACATAAGGCATTAAACGTTCCCACAACTTGCTCCGCCAGGCTGGCAGTGAACAGGGCTAAAGCCTCGACTTCCTCAGAGGTGAAAAGGTAAGCAAACATTCCGACCTCCCCTAGACTTGCTCTCGGATTGGTGCTGGGCCCGGCTCCCACCGCCTATCCCGGCCACATCCGTCATCTGGACTGCTAATACACTCATTAGCATAAAGATTCCTCCGAAGACCCGGTGCACGGGGCTGAACCGGAGTCTGTCCCTTTAAGGAAAAGGGGGACAGCCAGTCTGTCCCTAAGGACACTCGGCACTGCATTTCCTCCACACGGGCCACGCTGTAAACTAGAAAGGTTCCGTGTTAATCCACCCCCACTCCTCAACCCCGACAGGGGGATCCTTGGGGTGAACAACGCGCGGGGTCCCGGAGGACTGCGGACAGGTTTGGCCTCTGCGCGTAGCAGGCTCCGCCAGGCAACCTCTCGCCCGAGGCAGCGGCGAGCAGCAAG